TTTAAGCGATCTTTTAACTATTAAAACCAAATCAAGCTAATCATCAAATGATTGATATATATACATAGGCTTGCAATGTATAGCCACTAGAAACCAAGCCATTGACATTGGACTTGTAAATTGATTCATAGTCTTTTGGGCACGATCAATCTCTATTCGAACTCTCTTTACTTGTAGGAGTACATTTTGAATTTGTCGATTATGTTATATTTCCTTATCTCCCCCTTTTTTCTCATTTGGGCTGGCCCAATATTTATCAAACACTTCCATTCAGCAAACAATGGAAGTATGAATTCACGACAGCTCATGTTTGATAACCACAATATATGTCTTCAAATGCTAGGTCCGCCTCTTGCTTAATACATTTCGATATTTAGAGGAAAGAAAAATTCTAGTTATTTTTTTGAAAGGTAAATCAGTTAATACTATATTCAAATTAAAAAAATTCCAGTATAGTTCCCCTAGGATGAAATAGTTACACTTGCAAATTCCTCAGTTCATCTTATAAGTTTTGGGCCCAAGGATAGTATAAAAGAGAAAATTTTGGGCCATCTAAAATAAATTGATGATATTTGAATTCGACTACAAGAATCACGGTTCAGGAGATTACTCTGTACAAATATCGAGTGCAAGTAAGTATTTTCTGAACAAAATGTTAAAGCAAAATCAAATTATGCTTTTGGATTTAAGCTTTATGCCCATGAGTCTTGAGATCAAATGGACAGTTTATTAAGAGAAACTTACGGAAATTCCATATATTTTGGGGTTAATTACATCCTATCCCAGAAGTTTCTCCAATTAATTTTTTTTTTTGATTTTTATTGCTCTAGGATATATTCCTTGGTTGTTTGATACATTGCAAATGATACATTACTTAATGGGAGAGATGTATCCGAGAGGGGAGGGATGTATCCGAGGGGGATAGGGATGTATTCGAGAAGAGATAGGGATGTATGATGTATTGAGAGGAAATTTTAGTAATTTTTTTAAATGATGGACAATTTTATAAATTATGATATCTTATAAAATTGTGTATTTATGTAATTTTTCCATTACTTTTATAAAAATATAAACAATCAAGTATTAGTTAATTAATTCTCCCTCAGTCCCATATTAGGTATCAACATTATTATAAATCTAAAATCTTTTCATTTGAAGCTCTATTGAAAACAACAAGTAAATAGTAGAAGCATTTTTTTCATAAATAATTTAAAAGTGTTGTGAAAATACCATGATGCAAAATCTAATTGAACTACCCGCGGTTCTTGTTGCGACCCTTTCAAGTTCTATTAACGGTGTGTTCGATACGAATAAAAATATTTTCATGTTAATTGATTAAGTTTTTTGAGAATTATTCTCTCTACAAAATTTTTTTTTTTTTAAAATAAGACAAATGATTTTTCTTATGAAAATTGAAAAAAACAAGTTTCATACATGACATTCGAATATGTCATTTCTTCCGACACACCTCATTGAGTGATTTTGAATGATCTCATATGAAAAAAGCCTTAAGTTGAGTGATTTACTAATACAAAATAAAGTTAAATGATTTTTATACATATTCTTCATAGTTCACTGACCTTTTAAAATATTTACTCTACGAATTAAAATTACTTACATTTTCCTAGAAAACCCTTTCAAAGAAGTAATTTTCCATAAAAAAACATTTAATTTCCACCCTAAACTCCATGTAAACTCAACAATAAACAAATATAACTCAACATCTTAGAATACAAATTATATAGCTTACTCATCCTACACTTATATCTTGTAATAATATTCTTATTATGGTTCTTTAATATTCCCCCTTTTTTTCAGCCTCAACTATATGAACATTTTCTTCACTAAATCTCTTGGGAGAATTGAAATTCCTAGCTGGATATCACTTCATGGGACCATTAACCATTTGTAGAATACAACAAATTCCTACAAGTAAACTGATATTTTCCTCTTATTTCCATGAAAAGTAAATAAATAACAAAACCTCATGAGTCACTTTAGACAAAATATTGCAAAGAATCAATTAACTTTTATATGCATATCTTTTTTTAATACTAAGTATAAGAAAAGTCTCAAGATTCTTGCACCATATATGAACCTTCCTAACTAGAAAAACAAGACAAAATTAAAAGTCATGTTCAACTGAAATTTGCATATGCATATGTATACAAAGCAGTTTCATATCAACATCATATTAGAAAAAAATTTAAAAAATAAAATTGTGGGTTGTATATATTCTGTGGTTTCACATGCATCATCTGTTTTTTAATGGAAAAATGATGTATTCCAAGCTGTCTACTATGATTCCACATAAAGAAGATCTTGAAGGAAATGTATAGATCATCTTGTGTAGCAAAATTGTTATGTGTTTTTCACTATAATTTGAGTTAATGGTTAAAAAAACACCTAAATTATCACTATTAATTCACGAGTTTTATATCTTAATTATCCATTGTTCTCTGTATCTATCTAATTTATCTCTCTCTCTCTTTTGTATTAAAACATATATACTTTGATGCTGAGTTGGTCAAATATATGTTTCCAATCGACAATAGGCGTGTATAGGTCAACTTAGCATAAAAATGTGCTTTTATACAGCAAGAGTGATATATAGTTGAAATATGAAACTTGTGAAAAAAATGATAATTTAGATAGGTAATAGAATAATGGCTCGTTGAGGTGTGAAACTTGTAAAAAGATGATAATTAATTTAGATGCGCTTTTTATCGTTAACTCTTTTTTTTTCATACATAATTTCATATTTCTCCATCTAACCAAACAGAATAACCTAGCTAGTTAGCTAATTAATCTTTGTTCTGAAAATCCCAGACACAATATTTAAACTAAAGTTTATGGTGTATGTAGGGATGTAGGTGGGGTGGGGGGTAGGGAATTTGTTAGTTTAAAAAAAAACGATAACTACACCTCAATTCTAAACAAGTCATGATTGAGTGTTTGAACTTTGAAGCTTCACATGTGACTCCATCTAGACTCATCCAATCAAATATTATATCAAATGAAACTGAAAATTAACAATAATTAAATTGACTAATTTTACACAAATAGTTAGTCAATTTTGACAAACTTCATATTGAACATGTTGTTGATCGATTCTTCTTCTTTTAGAGTATACAAATCTAAAATTAAGCTTTAACCGACAAATTTAAAATTAGACCTGAGATTTGAATTTGATTAGACTTTAATTCAAATTCAAACCTCAAGTTCAAAATTAGGTTTTGTTTGACAAAGTTCAATTTCAGACTTTAGATTCACGTATCTGAAGTTAATTTTGAAACTGCTAAATTACGGAGTTGGTGTCATAAAAATGTGGGGCAATCGTTCTTTATTGATAAATTGCAGAGGACAATAGAATCTTTACGTAAGACAAAGTCTGTTTGTTTCATTTTTGTACTCACTCAGATCCACATCCACTGGGAGTTTAATGAAATAGTCCTTCCTTTTTTTGGTTTATTTATTATTATATTATATGATCTCACAATGTAGTAACATAAGACAAACACTTTGTAACAACACATGGGATGAAGTGAAATTTTGGAAAAAACAAATATATATTTCTGATCCACAATTATTATTATTATAGTTTCTGTAATTGAAAAATAATCGTTGTCATAAAATTTCAAAATTCGTAAAGACTACTTTTTAAAGTAGTCAGTAAACGCAATTTCTACCTTACATTAGTTAGATGGAGAATTAACAAAATTTCTCCTCAATATCTATCCTTTTATATTTTCTATATGATAAAAAAAAATTCAGTGTATTAAGTAAATGAGTACATTATTAATGTTTAATAGGAGTATATATTTATTTTCCTTTTTTTTTTTGTTTTTTTTGTTTGTTTTTGCTTCCTTCTAAGTTAAGGTGTCCATTGCACTTGGTCATTGTAATGGATTAGCATCATGTGGTCCTAATTAAAGAAATAATAAACCGTAAAGAGGATTACATGATCATTAAATGGCTTTTGTGTGATGTTATACCAAACTAATTGATCATAATTAAAGGTCTCTATGTCTCTTCCACATTATAAAGAGTGTAGAATAAAATGATTTCATTTCATAGTTGAGAAAAACCATGAACGGGAACTTTGGAGGTTGTCTCTCTGAATAGGTCACGAATTCAAATCGTGAAAATAACTATAACCCACTAATACTTGTCAGGTCATGAATTCGAATCGTGAAAACAACTATTACCCACTAATATTTGCATTGGCATATGTGTGTTAGCTCTTTCTCCAAATCCTCATTTTCATAGGTTGTCTACATGACACTCTTTAGGTGTGCTAGCTTTAATTCTTCTCCAAACCCTGCGTGAATACGAAATGAGAAAAACATAATGATGGATTCTTGACTTTAACATGTTTGAAGAACACTTATAATGTGTTTATGTTAATGATTACTAGAAGCAAAAAAAGATCCATAATTTTCTTTACTTTAAAACAATAGTGAATAAAGCAATCAAACAAACTTAGGTTTAAAAAAACAGGGTCAACACAACCTCAGAAAATAAAATAAATGTAAACTTATCAAGATTTGGTCCATTTTCTGAGAAAATCTTGGTTTTATTGATAAGGCTCACTTCTCAAAGCATATTAACAAATCTTCAAAATAATCATAAGTTTATTAAGACTCAAAAATAAAAAAATACAAAAAACACAATTAGAAGATAGAAAAGAAAAATACCTCTCGATTTGTTAGGTATACTACGAAAAATTGCATCAATCGATAGACATCGAATTAGTAGGTATATAGAAAATTAGTTTGAGCCAAGGTACTACACACCGTCCTTTTCAGATGGGATCACATTGGATATGTTGTGAAGAAAGAATCGAAAAAACCTCAATTCAAATGAAACTCATAAAAAAGCAAATCTAAGAAAGTAGAGAGTACATAACATTACCCTTAAATTTAGTTTCTTTCTTTCCCCACTGCATATTCATGAAAAAAAAATAGGGTTAAGATTATTTTTCGTAGTACGAACTAACGGGTGAAGCAACCACATGATCTGATCTTGCCTCAATATAAATTTGTAGGTAAGTTTAGATCATGCTGGCAGCTTCAACTGATAGTGGTATACGCTATCAATATAACAAAACCCTAATATTGTTGAAGAAGAAGAAGAAGAAGAGACCTAAGTTTATATGACTTTCTCAACAAAGAGGGCTAGGGGTATAAATAGGGGTGTGAGGAAGAAAAATAAAGGAGAATTATCACTTAAAATAAGTTTTTTCTTTTTTTTTTGGTGGGGGATATGTAGTAAAGATAAGAGAAATTAATAAATATTGGTGAAGGAAAAGGGTGTCAAAAAAATAAATGATATTCCGCCCGAAGTCCGTCCATTTTTATTTGTTCATATTTGATTTGGGATAGTCCTTAAGAATGATAATTTTACCATTATTACTAGAAGCAAGGGTATTATTTCCACTGCAAATTAATAAAATTTTTGTACTATAGAATAGGGTGTACATGATCGGGTTGATTCGGATTTTTCAAATATCAAACCAAACCATTTGTGTAAAAAATTTAAATTTATAAACCAAGCCAAACTAATAAAATTCGGATTTTTTCGGGTTTTTCAACCTCGGGTTGGTTCGGGTTTTCTAAATACCAAACCAAACCATTGTGTCAAATTTTTAAATTTATAAATCAAACCAAACTAATAAACCTCGGATTTTTGGATTTTTTCGGTAAAGTTTGCATACAAACATATAATTAGCTTGTGCTCCAAATATTTCTTTAGTCCAATCAAAATACAATTATCTAAGGTGTTTCTTAAGAAAATAACACAAAATATGAGATGAGTACTGATGACACTAAAATATTCAATAAAAAATAATAATGAAATCATCATATAAAATAAATATTGCAAAGTCATAATGAAAATGATCATAATTTAAAAGTACTAAATCATGCTAAAATAAGTTTAATAAGTATTAGTTACATTACTAAATATTTAAGGAAAATTAAAATTAGATTATGTATTTTAATTGTCTAAACCAATGTAAAACTAAAGAACAAATATTCAATATTATTGTCATTCTTAGTGTTGAATTGATTTTCTTTTTTGCATTAGTATTAATTTGATTTT